GCTGGAATGTCACGGTACACTGTCAGGTATATTGCAGTGACATTATTCCAGAAGATGTGTTGGCTTTATACTAGAAGACTGGGCTGTACTTTCAAGAAGTGTTTTACTACAATAAGGTGAAATCAAAGCAATCTCACAATCATAATACAGTTAAATTGCTTATATCGATGATATTCAGAAGTTTTCAAAACATCCATCCATTCACCCATAGCCTCGTATCCAGTAAAGGTTGCGAGAAACATGGATCTTATCTCCGAAAAATGCTATTTGAATATGTGAAGTTCAATAAAATTAAAATTGAATAAGATTCAATTATACAGACGCTCCTCTATTTAGGAACGAGATACGTTCCGAACGGCCATTCATAACTTGAAATGTCAGTAAGTCACTATTCAACATGACTTAAGGGTATATGCAAGTACAAAGAACTAGGATGCTGGGAGTCCGCACGCTACGCTGCTGAGCGGTGGGAGTAGTGGCCAGTCGTACTAGGCGGAATTGGCGAGCAGAAAAAAAAAATTCGTAGTGGACAGGAAACGGGAGCCCAATGAACACAATTTGGACTTACGGTCCTCTTCGTTCGTATGTCTGAAAGTTCGTAAGTTGAAAGTTTGTAAATAGAGGAGCATCTGTATTCCAAATTGATATTGAAAATGTGGCTTGTTGCAGTAATATTAACATGTAATAATTTATTGTCAGTGTATTCACTGTTTATCTTTTATTGTTTTTTGACAAATTTATTTATCAGGAACAGGCCAAAATGATTGAAGGTGCTTTTTAATCATTAACGATCACGCTAAATTTACTAATGCCCCCACAACATTCAAGAACCTGCCCCTGTCTCTGCAAGCCACAGTAATCTAGGTGACTGGTTGGGTTCCCTCACTTTGCACCCCATGGGAGAGAAGCCTAGAGTTACCTATGCTGGGAATCACAGAACATGTGGCAAGGGAAACCTTAGACGGGATACCAGTCTGTCGTAGGACACACGTGAATGAAAGGAAGATTGTCTGTTTTTCTGACTCTACACACAGACTTTGAAGATGAGTTTATTCTTTTTCACCAAAGATCTAAAATCCCTTTCCCCCATTGCATTCCGCAGATTTACTTGTAAGCTGGGGGGGAGGGTGTTGCATATCAGGGTCATAACCCCTTCCCCCTCCTTTCTATCTAGCCATTCCCATGGAAACCAACAGTGTCGACAAGTATGGATTTACTCTATACATGACATTCAAACTCATTATCAGACTGATTCCCCCTGTGAGTGTGACTTTTGCTATCTGTGGACTGCAAGTGTCTGATACAGTAAGAACCATTTTTGTGGGGATGGATTCTAATAAATTTGACTTTTGGTGAACAAAAAAAATCTGAGCAGGAAACAGTCATAAGGATATTTCCACTGGGGAATATAAGAACCTTTGCAAAAGACTTACTCAACATTGCAGTGAAAATGAAGTTAAGCAATCCATTGCAACATAGCCCTGATTATCATGCTATTGCATAAGGGGGTATTCCACAAAGCAAGATTTCCCAGTTACCTGGATGACTTAAGCCAAACGTGGAAACTGTCCAATAGGAAGAGAGGTAACTGACATTCCTATATTCGACAGTCCTTACATTTGGCTTAAGGTATCTGGCTAATGAAAAAATCCTGCGTTGTCTTTGTATCCAACATTCAACATTAACCATAATGCAACAGCAGGTTCCTGGAACCTACAACCTTCTGGAGTAGATTTTTATCACATGAATTCATGTGATATTAATGAATTCATCATTGATGAATTTAACCTCTTTTCTCAAGCATAACTATATCTGTTAATTATGTAAACCTTTATGAACTACTGAAGTAACCACTTAAGGAAGTACTGTATCAACAAATAATGAATAACATGTAAAATACCAATCCCATGTTTGTTCATCGTTAATTAATTGTGATGCATCATTTATCTCAGTTATTGTATTTACTATATCTGGTAATTCTATAAATCTTAGTGAACTACTGAAGGAACAAGTAATGAATAACAGGTGAACTACTGAAGGAACAAGTAATGAATAACAGGTGAAATACTGATGGCAAGTTTGTTCATTAGTGAATCATGACACATTTTTCATCTTAGGTCGTGACCATATTTGTTCATGACTGGTTCATGATTTACACTTCAATAGTGACTTAGTTACTACTAAGTATTTGTGTCCCCTCAAGTGAAGTGTTACCAATGCTTTTGTCCAAAGGAAAGTACAAATTAGAAAAGCTATATGACAGAGAACATCCATTGCCCCTGGAGCAGTTGGAATTTGTACTTCTCAAGCACTAACTCAATATTCAACAGTACCAAAATGGCAACATGGTCTAAAACTGAGGAGAGAGACAAAAGCTGGAGACCGAGATATGACACACTGGGACTTAACACTAAGGAGCAACATGACTATGGCCTAAGTTCTTTGGCCAGAGGAGCCAAACTATATAGCCAAGAGAGCCAAGAAGCTGCACTTCTGGGTCTGATCATGAATCACAGAGAGTCCATGACGACCAGAGCCCACGGAAACCCAACTCTGCGAAAACAAACACACAGTATAATAAAAGACACAAAGAGAATTGTTTTAAGATCTGATATCCTTTAAACTAAAAAGTTTACATATTATAAAACAAACAGACGTTTCTGAACTTAGTGACATCCTTAAAATTGCTTTTAGCAAAAAAGATTTTGACTGTATTACAACCATCCGACACTAGAGGGCAAAAATAATAAGTAATTTATATTTGAGACCGTGTACACGTACAGTAAGTGTAGTGTAGTCTTGCTGTCTATGAAAACTACACGTGTTTATTTATCCAGGCAAGGAAACATGCCTAGATATGTAAAATTTCATTTTAAGCATGTTATCATTATAATGAGCACTAATACGGCTGTTTTGAAAATATATTTATGCAGTCAACATAGTTTTCCAAAGATAGATTTTAAAGTTTCTTGGTACTCGCATTAGTAGATAAATGACTAAATGATGCAGCCTTTGCCCTATTAATGGAAAGCAGCTAGATTTATGGATGAATGAGTCGTAAAGAATTAGTGGTATAAATCGTATGTATTTATTTGTCTAGGTATCCTATTATCGTTATGCAGATGGAACAAATTCTCAGGCTAAGACAAATCAAAGTTTGCCATCCATTAACGTATTTTAAACTAAACCTTCACCGGAGTGCATCATGGTTACGACAGCGTGCCACCCAGGACGATGCCAAAAAGATGTGACGAATAGGCGTTACGTGTGAAATTTAGTAAAAGCGGGGGGTGGGTTATTATTTAGTGGGGCGGAGGCACAAGCTTTTGTAAATGGGATTTTAAAATGCTCCATCAATGTGCTCCATTCAGGGGTCCCAGTACTACCGTAAAAATCCGGGCTTCAATGGAAATCCGCGCCTCCTGTCTTAATTAAATAGCCGAAGTGCCGTGCAGCCCGTTAAACGTCGTAATGTAATTTGGTCATTTTAACAGGAATCTAAGACGTTTATCTTACATAAATAAAACAAAATAAATAAAACGTCATCTTTCACGACTTGGCGTTCAGAACTAAGTGAGTTAGTTGTGCAAAACGATAGGCCTATAGGTAACGTTGTTTATAAGGGTTAGTTTCCACAGTGTTGCAAAAAATTACTTCTTTGACGGAATAAAAAGAATTGTAAAAATACAATTGCATTGTAATGACGTTAGAGCTGTATAAAATTAGATCTAATTAGTTTGAATACCTGTATCATTAAAAAACGTAATGAAAAGTTTGAATAAATGTCGCAAAAACAGAAATGAATGATATGAACAAAGATTTCCATTGACAAACAGCAGATGGTTACGCCTCATATGACTAGACAAAGACCAACAGATGGATGTTCACTCTCTCCGATTTGCCTTGCTCAGCATCAATAGAAGTGAGGACCTATGTAGTTAGGGCTGGGGTCGTCATTTTAAAAAGGCAGCAAAAGTAAGAATGTAAAATCGTTTTTTCTTTCGAGTGTTAACACCCTGATTTAATACGTTACGCATGCGCATTAGGGCAGAAGGCGCTGATTTCCATCGGCGAGCCAGTTTGATATGACAGCATCGGTTGCAATGCTTGAATATTTTAGGATTGCAAGACGTGGAGCTGCTGTATGGACACAACGTCAAGCTCACTTTATTTAATCGTCTTCATTCTTTAAAATCAATAGTTTCCCTGCAAGACAAATGTGAATTATGTATTTTTTTGCTTGTCACATTAACATTTAATTTTGGAGGCGGATTTTTTTTTTAACAGAAATTATTTTTCTGTAGACATATTTTCCCAAACACCATTTCGCTTACACAAAGTCTAATATATGTCTCAATTTTCATCACCACATAATTTACATATCCTTATTTTCTATAAGAAGTGAGTATTCATAGACGCTCTATCGAATGGCAGATGTCCCGTCACGACAATGCCAAAAAACACCTTTCCTTAGCTGCACAGAATATTCCTTCGAGAATTTACGTCGTGTCTGATTTAAATGCCAGTTAGGCTGTGTCATTCAATTCATATTTTACTATACCGTAGTTTTAAAAGTATCTACAACACAAGAGACCTATTCCTAGGGGTTGATTTTTTTTTTTAACCAATCGTGTACACGCGTTTGTGAATGGAACGGGTGGAAAAGTAGAGCTCTACAAACTAGCTCATGTCATAGGGAAATGTATACATGATTTATATTGTTATTGTAATGCATAATTCGGGCTATAACATTAAATCGCTGAACAATTAATACAACACAGGTTTAACAGTAATCACTGCAGCCCTTATTCCACCGCTGTGACGTTTTGGCCATCGGATGACAAGCGTTTCCATCAATCAAGGTGGGTCACCACAGCAGTTCATACATGATGTGTAAGAAAGACGAGGGCTTCCCTTATGTAGCAAATGAGAAAAAAGGCTGAAAAGGGAGGAGCCGACACCTTTACGTCAACTGCGCCGTGTGGGCGTGAAGGAGCCGCACAAAACCCCGTCAGCGCCCTCCTTTGCCCGGGAGCGTCTGATTACTCCGTCCGCGTTAAAAAAAGGCAAAGGGTGACTGGAAGAATCGGTAACAGCCGCTGGAAGTTGATAACAATGTTAGAAGAACAGACTCGAGTGTCTTTTTTGCTGCACAGTATTTAAGATCTGCTTACTCAAATGTTTTTTCTAAACGTAGGATGGGATTAACTTTGAACGGCAGCTATATCTCACTGTTTCTTGCTGTTCAGTTAGGTGAGTTTTGCACGATCCAGCATTTTTTTAAGTATCGCATGCTGCAGTGTTAGTTTGTCTTGTATTGCTAGGTATTAACTATAAAACTGGGGGGAAATAGTCACTGAACAATGGGACATTAGTATAAGAAACGTTTGGTCAGTTGTTTCAATGTAAATTTACGTCACGCTATCCGATAACAGAGTTCTATAACAGCATATTTTTGCGGTACGTTTTAAGTAAAATTATTTTGCTGTAATAAACAAAACAAGCTAGTATGTGAGTATGTGCATACTGCCACTTTTGTTTGGGAATTTGGATACTTTTCGATTTTAAAAATCTGTTTGATATAAATGCCACAGCATAAGATTTGGGGAACCGTTTTCTAAAGGTTATGTTTTAGATTGTAGCGGCAGGCACTGCAGACATAAATTATTTACACCGTAACAGTGGACCCACTAAGCCTCGTAGATCTAGTGCCCAGTATGCATGCAGTTATACTGATATTGATTGGAAGAAGATTTTCAAACTTCCGAATGTCCAAAAATTTAACTGTGGTGTAAAAAAAAATAGTCACTGAAGTTATTCAAAACGACATTACAGATGGTATAATCAACAATAACATGCAGTTGTTTAAAAGTGATAGGCCCATTTTCTGTAATCCTAGTTTAAGAAATTGTTTGGTGGAACGGTGCAAATGCCCATCACATTTATATTATCAGGCGTATTCAAGACCTAGAAAAATATTGCCTAATGTGTAAAAATATCGGCTACATTTGTGAAGTTATAGATACGATAATCATACGGAAAGTTTGGTATCAGGCTATATTTACGAGGGTAAAACCGGTACTTTTATGCCAGCCTTGTAATCTCAGTTTTGTGTATTTTTCTGTAATTAAAAGCTATGTAAATTGAAATTTGCCGGAATACAAGTCATGTGAAAAAGTTTTTTGAAAAATCTGAATTATTTTATCTGGTTGATTAACTAATTCTAGTTTAACTAGTTTGAACTACGAGTTCATGACTTACTATGACTAAGAACTTCAATTAGTCCTACATATACCCATGGTTAATTTTGTTTTAATCTGTATTAATCTTTGGGTTTTACTAGGAATGAAAGGCGTTGTAGCAAATAAAATGCACGAATTTTATAGCCTAAAAGTTGCTATAGACTCATTAAATGTTTCAAATCTTAAGTCAGTGACAGATCAAAATGCAATATGCCAGAGTGGCAAAATGCTTTCGCAATTTTTGTTTGTATAGTGGGCATATTCACCAATACAGTACGCGACCGGGAATTGTATTCGACTCTGCATTTTTAAAGAAGAAACCCAGTCTTTCAGTTCACAATGAATAGATGCTTTAACCATATTTTCGCTTATTCACCGGGGCTACTGATCACTTCTCTGCTTTTCCAAGTTTAACTCCCAAGGCTTACTGCCCTCAACCACAAGTGCATATGTGATTTTAGTTATAAAACGAAATTGAGTTCTGCACAGTTTATATTATAATACTTGCGTATTACAATGTAGGCTTGTAGCAAATTGGAGGTGACAGTGTGTGTGTGTGTGTGTGTGTGTGTGTGTGTGTGTGTGTGGGGGGGGGGGGGGGGGGGGGGCTGCAGATAACACGTGATATGGACACGAGCCACCGTGCAGACCCACATTCATAAAAGTGGATGTATAATAAACCAAACTGACCTTAATGTCAATATATCATATTGCAGGCCAGTATTTTTGTCCCCGAGTGGTAATTACATATTAGGCAGACAAAATTTATGTCCAATCAGTAATTATTACAGGTGAATTTAAATTAAGAAATCATAATTTTGGGAAATGCTGATGTGTTGTTCTTTACTAATATCACAACAATTAAACCTTCAGATCGGTGTTTCGTGTTTTCGCGCTTCTTGTCTGTGGAGATGAAATGACGGCGTTGGAATTGTACAGAAATATGTTCTTCAGAGCCTCGAATTTTTAAGTCAACATAGTGATGGTATGGAGAGACGCTAATGTAACGCCTTAGTATTTTGGGGAAAGGAATACATTTAGGCTATACGTAAAGGACATTTGACTTTTTTTTTTACTTAGATAACGGTAATAACATGTCGGATTTTTATACAGTGGTAAATGTTTTCGTTTTCTTCAGAACTGATTCATTATTCGCATTGCATTGCGTGATATTTCTTGTTATTGTAGAAAATACTGTGATTGAGATACACGATTAACGCATTTCTCTGCTTCCCATCGCGTTTACCTGAAATCGTGGCAAGACACATATATAGATTGCTTTGTTCTGGCACCTAAACTTTGAAAGCTCCTTTAATCGTTATAACAGTATCATCTGAGTGAACAATTTGTTCAAGGAAGAGAAATGTGAAAAAACTTCTACCGGATTATGTTATACTGCGAGCGATACGACTCGAAAACAATAACCTATACTTGCGCTGACCATCACGCACTAATATCCTCCTCCACAAATACTTAAGTGGAAACTGGTTCTCCCGTATGTTAAATAGCTCAGCCTCTCTGTCTCCCTCTCGCTCCCCTTTTCTCTCTCACACTCTCGCAAACATATATAGGCTACTTCTGAATAATATCCCAGGCACGTATGCGTTAATCTTCCTTAGTCCCCGTTGCACTTATTAAGTCCCGATATGAACCAGCATAACGTCAAATATATCACCGTGTCCAAAAATGCTGATATGAACAGTTTTTTATAATAATAAATAATAAGTACATGACGGCTAAATTGTTTGAACGTAATTCCCACTTTCGTGGAAATAATAGACTGATCCTGACTGTTTTTCATTCCTTTAAATATGATTATACATGATGCTTTATGTAATCCGCACCCATTCTTTAATTTCAGCCTATCTGCTACAGGCGGTAAGAGGAGCGGGCCAGTGTGATGCAGTGTTTAAGGGTTTCTCAGACTGCTTGCTCAAACTGGGGGAAAAAATGGTCACCTACCCAAAGGACATGGACGAGACGGAAAACCTACAAACCATCTGCTCGTAAGTTCGTATGTATGTTAAACAATGGGAAAAAAATAGTTTAGGTAGCGCAACGTGCTCCCGGGTAACTCAGACGGAAAAGCACGACATGGGGCTACATCTTACTTTTGATTCAGAAGCTCAGCTACGGAAATAAGCTTCGGTAGGAGAACAGCGTCAACCTTATAAATTAATTACGACGAAACAGACCAAATGGCATTAGATGAACACCAGTATGTTTTTTCGGTTAGATGTTTCCGTCTGTTTTTCTGTCTTAAGGGCCGGGGTTTAATGTCGTCACAATTATCAATTCATCTGGGAAAGCCGATGCTCTGTTGCACGTTATTAAAGTTGGTTGCGCGTACCTAACTATTGAATCTATTTATAATCAGCGACTAGTGAGGAATGAAATAGTGTCGCCGTATTTTTGCAAGTACGGAGATATAGACGGCATTAGGCGAGATCTGGTGCATCACGTCTTCATTTTTTGTCACTTTGGGGAAGGCAGGCGGTGTAAAACGCCCCACGTACTCTTATCCAGAACACATTCGTATGCAGAGTTAACAGTGAAATTAATAAATTAAATCTGAAGGCATCTGACTTTATGACGTGTCTATGGAAGAAATTTTAAAGAACGCATCAAACGACATGTTACTCTCGTCGTGTTTTCTAAATTCCATAGAAAATATTATCGAATAATTCTAAAGCAATATATTATCCTCTAATTATAATAAATAAAATAGATCTGTCGCCAAGGTTATCATTTGTACTTACTTAGTGTAAACTAAGGGGTGCTTTTTCTCACAAAAGAATATTACTGGCAAAAATCCAACACATTTATGTCTGGAATCCCAGCATTGCTTATTGACTGTGACTCTTTAATCGAAGTTTTGGAAACCAGTTAAATAATTCATAGCAGCTGGATTAAGCAAGGACTGGTGTAGGAACGATCACATTCCTGTGTCACCACAGATTTATATAGCCTAGCTAGGCTATTAAATATGTTTTATCCGTAGGCTATGTCAAAGAGTACACTCGGATTTCACATGGCTGAATAGGCCTATATATGCTTATAATTATTAATTTAAAATCCTAATTGTTGTAAAAATAATCAATCGAATGCACACCACAGTATCGAAACATTATTAATAGCATACATAAGTGACTGTATAACACAACTAATTAATAGGCTACTCATTCTGCTTTAAAGACCCCAGTCTAAACACGTGATTTTAGCATTAATCTTTTTGTATTTCGTCCGCAGATACTGGGACGAGTTCCATGCCTGCGCCTCAACTGCGCTAGCGGACTGTCAGGAAGGAGCTACGGATCTATGGGAAAAGCTTAAAAAGGACTCCAGAAAACTGGAATTCCGGGGTAGCTTGTTTGAACTGTGCGGCGGAGGCAGCGGAGCACCAACACCGACAGCCCCCCTGGGCATTATAATACTCCTGACTGCAGTCTCTGCACTAGTGACATGGCTTACCTTTTAGGGAGCTGGATTTCTACATCTGAAGTGAACCAATACCGGCGGATGAGACCTAACAGATCTGATAACCGCCACTGCATACCTGTTAAACTTGCAGTCAGTTATAGTTCATATGTACGGTAGACTTGGACTGTGACTGTACGGTGGTTTGCTCGATGAGTTGTTGCATACGCATACTACAGAGTAATAACGACTAAACATTACAAGAGCGATTTTCCTATAATTGTTCGTATGAATACTTGGATTGGCTTACTGAATGGATTCACAGATGCATATCTGCGACTACACTGAACTACAAATCCATGCAACTAAAATATAACTGGACGAAAACAAGTAATAGAGAAATATTACAGAAGACAGATCTTTGAATCGTGTTTGGTCTGCTTCCCTTTAAGTTAATCTTATTGCTCCTTTTTGTTTTACAAATGTGAAATGTCAAGTGAAGATGAGTGGCTGAGAAGGAATCAACTGACGTCTCTACTTTTATACGATACTCGCTGACAAAGCGAGGAAGAAAACGACCCAGCAACAAGCCGACTTGCACCATTTAGGCCCAGCACGAGTTTGCCGTGGATAGACGTTAAAGTGAAATATGCGGATGACAAAGAAATAAAGAAATCTCTACACAGAACAACGAATGGATCCCATGAAAACCGCAGCCACTCCTAAACACCCTGGAGGAAAACAAGATTAATTATTGCTGCTATGTCTCATAGTGTGTTTCTGTCTTTATGTTAGAAAGAGTCTTTATTTAAAATGATGAGCAAAATCATTTCATATTGCATCATGGCAAAAAAATAATAATATATATATATATATTTAATGTTGTGAAATCTCACGATTCACCGCCTACAAAATATACTGTTTGTTTATTGTAGTTCTGGGGGTGTCGCAATCCAAAAGTATTAAGAAAAATTAAGGCTGAATACCAAAAGAAAAAACAAGTAATTGAAATCCCATACGTATAACAGATTATTTATTGTATAGTCATATTTCATTTCAGATTTTTAAAAAGGATGAATATATATATATAATAAATCATTTACTGATTCACCAGAGTGTATGATAAAGATCTATGTTTTACTGCGGGTATGGAGCTTGTAGTGGGACTTGCGTGTGTATGTGACGAAGGCAAGAAAGACACATGACTATGTAAATGTAACATTGTATTAATAAATCATAGCAACATTGCAGCCAGATGATGAAACGGATAGTAGGCAATAAGCAAGGGAGGAGCAGTTGGAGTCGGTATCTGAGGGGGATTTAAGTCTCAAATACCAAAACTGAAGGTCTGGTTCTGCACAATCTTGTTACAATGTATCAAAAGACAAAACTGGCTAAACAAACTCAGTTAAAAGACTAATGTAAGATGCACATTGATTGATGTAGCATTATTTTAGCTTGCATGCTTACAGCAAAAAGGATAAAAGGACTTGTCTTATGTCACAAGTGTAATACAAAAGATGTTTCGTGGCATTTAATAATTTTATAGCTTGATTTTAAAATGTCATTACTGATAGCTTAAATCGAACTTACCTATATAAATGTATGTTTAACGCTTTTCTGTTCACAAGGGCACTTGTCAGAGTTTAGATATCTTCAAATGATAACGTAATCTTTAACTTCAATTTTAAACATGTAAAGCAAAATCAAACATAAACACAGCTGTCAGAATACCCAATACTCAATTAAAACATTTGAAGGAGTGGCAATTTAGAAACAATTAAAGAACCCTATGGATTTGTATACTTAGTTAAGTGTATTCTTCGTACATGTATGTACTGTACAAGGGCATATATTTGGGTGTGGACGGCTCCTACCAATATTGTGGGTGTACGTGTGTGTTTTGGGGAGATGGAGGGCTTCGAGGCTGGTTTGGTCCCTATACCAATGCTGAAACCCATCCTATGTCCTTGGTACTGTACCGTGTAAAGTCACGACTAGATGAAAAAGATGCACTATTTAGCCAACAAATTCTCTCATGAATGATTAATGCGGTCATTTCCGTCAATGGGGACAGTTAGTCCAGCGAATGCATTATGGGAGCTGGAGATTAAGTAGACCGGGGCGTGTGCTGAAGTTCTGAATCTGATTGCTATAATTGAAAGTCAGCATCGGTAGCATGGGAGGTGTTTGGACACCCGACCGGAGGAGCAGAATTTTCAGATACGCCCCACTTCAGCATATACTCCGTGTATTGCTGTTTTCTCATTTCGGAAGACGCCTTTGCCAGTAGGATGCTAACACACAGCATTACATTACTACTGCTTTTTGCTGAAAATGTTTTACACCACCGAGGAACATATACAACCTCTTGTACCGACAAGGAGAGTTTTTTTGTTCTTCCCAGACATGCGCAGACGCGGTTGTCTTATAATGAAACGTTCCCAGATTAATGCGAACAGTCATCATCATTTTTTTCTCCATTATACCGACATTTGTCACTTTTATGTTATGACTTACGAGTAATTTGTACTCGACGTGTTGGTTCTGTATATAGCTACAGGCAGGGGTGCCTTAAGGGAAGGGGGATAATTCCAATGGTCCTGGAGTGACAGGGGTCTTAAAAAAATATTGGAAAATAACTGGATTGGTCTGGACTGGGGGCCCCAAAATCTTTAGCAAAGCCGCTGGACATAGGTACCTGTACTCGGGACTTATCTATCAAAATTTCTGAAGAATATATTTCACAAGTGGATATTTTCTGTAAGCTGAAATGCTTAGGTGGAAGGAAATGTGTTTTTTTTTCCCCATGGGAATCGAATTAATGTAGTATGTAGCTTTTTAAAATCAACCTTCCTTTATATGATCCTCACATTAAAGTTTAAAGTCAAACTGCAAAGTAAACAACATTCCATGTAATGAATACCACGATAAAGATAACTGAATAGATTACTGATAAACAATCAATCAATAAGACCTGATATTACATACCAACTTTCAGTTTACTGTTTTTATGGGTAAGCTGCTGTTCATAGTTTTATTGTGATAAGGTTTCAGAATGTATTGAAGGTATGTTCAGGGTTCTACAGTATATCTTTCATGAAATTAATTGCTATGTGATGGGTTAACATGCCGACAATATAATTTTCATTTTGAAGCCTAGAGGAGCTTCTTCTGAGCCTCTTAAAATAGGCTAAAAGAGATTTGCAACATATTGTATATGTAACTGCATGTAATATAATTTAAATAGGCTACAATTTCTTGTACGTTACTTCTACAGTACCTCAAAAGAAATGGTAAAGATTGTATTCATGCGGTACCACACCTAGTGTTTCGGGAAACACATTTTTGGAAATGCAGCGCCTGTCAAACTTTAAGGATAACATGAGCAGAGCGCGAAAATAACCGAATGCAACCATATTTCATGCAAGCTTAGGCCTATGGCTTACTGGTACTCTATGTACGTTACATTCAATTTACAGGAATATTGTGGTCCGGGTACCAGACATTGCGTTTGGGAAAATAACGAGCAGGACACGGAGTGTCGGGAAGCACAAAAACGGCGTTTACGGTCACACTCACAACTCACACACACTGCCCACTGTGTTAGCCTCCCTGACTACTAAGATGGCACATGCTAGGCTACATTAGCACAATACATGCTAACTATACACAGCTACTTACACTATTTACAGTTAGCTTCAGTCCGGAATGCTACATTGCAGGCAACTCAACTTATTCTGTTGACTGGACATTTAAGGCAGCTAAACACTACAAAAGTAAATGGTGGCGATAAAAGTTTTTGGTGGGGAGAGCAGTTAGAAATGTATTAAACAAGGTTGTTAGTTGAGGCCCCTTTTGACCAGAGGCCCCTGGGCTTCATACTGAGTAACCCCGTACATTACAAACCTGTCCCTGTAAGCATTGCATTAAATTACTTATTATAAGCAACACATCATGATAGCCAGAAGTGCTTCTATGCGATACTGCAGCTAAAAATATGGTTGCAGTGCAATTGCACATTTCTGTCGCGTCTGCATCCCAAAAGAGATTCTGACAGACCAAGGCACATCTTTTATGTCAACTGAAGGAACTATACCAGTTGTTCATGGCCCTGACACTGTCCTGATTATGTCTATCCCTAAGACACCCCAAGTAAAGCATGAGTTCATAACCAAATCTCCATGCCGAATGTTTCGGTTCACCAGTCCTGCCAGATATAACTTCATGGGGCTCCAAACTAGATATGACCTCATGGGGCCCCAAATGAGATATGACCACATGCAGCCCCAAACCAGATATGACCTCATGGGCCCCCAAACCAGATATGACCTCATGGGGCCCCAAACCAGATGCTCAAAGATGTAAATTTTTCAGCATTTTCCGTTCTTCTGAGGAATACAAATGGGAAGCCAGTTTTATCGAGTAGCCATTAGGTCAGTTAATCTTCCATAGCTGCTTATCCAGTACAGGATAGTGGTGGGCCTGGACCCTATCCCAGGATGCTCAGAGCCACGCTGGACAGGATCCTTTACAAACAAAACACAACACAACGGAAACAAGCCGCAATTAATGGTGTGAATAAAAGCACAATTAAAACTGAGAGAAAGTGTGACCTATTTCTTTAAACCACAGTTTTCATTTTTTGTGTTTGTTACATCTCTTTCCTGAAAATAATATTAATTGGTGTTTTGTGTTTTTCCTTGACGCCCACTGTTCCCGTGTAGATTTCACATACTTGCTCTCCTGACACTTAGTCACATTTTTTGGTTTCTGACTTCCCAGTCTAGATCTCTGCCTTTCATTCGGTTTCTTGTCAGCTGAAACGACTCTTTTCATTTTTTTGTTTGCGTTTGTGTGCCATTGAACCCACCCCGTCCTGTCATGTACCCTAATAAACTGCGATTCTCTCTCCAATCCACATGTCCGCCCACCAGAGGTTGCCTCCAAGCGCCCGAAGATTATAGTAGCTATTTTAATTCTTGCTATTCTTTCTGATACTGACAACTCAGCTCAAAAAACTGTGTTGTGTAGCCCACGCTGATTCCCCAGTTCTTCTCACTTTTAGGTCCACATCTTATCGTGTGTTTGCCCACCAGCTTGGCGCGCATTTGCCTAACATGTGATAGGCTGCAGTTAGCTTAGCATTAGCTTAGACACAGAGGTCCATGGCCAAGCTGTTTGGAGTCACCGTCTTGCCTACTTTCGAAAGGGACACATTTGTCCACTGACCTTGGGTCCAGTCTTTGTCTTGGTCCTCGGGGGTCTTTTTTTTTTGAGGCAGCTGTTTTTGAAAGTCATCTTCAGCTTTATGCTTTGCAATGTGCGTGGCTGAACGGCATATCCCATTCTTCATTAGGTACAGGTGCCGGCCCAGTGGACTAGGATCTGCACTTCAGCCATTACTGGCACTACCATCTCAATACAATCAGAAGAAAGTCCAAGAAAACAGAATGAATATAACAGACAATCTATTCATATAGGATAAGGATGTTCAGCTTCAAGTTTTATAACCATCTGAGGGTCGTGCAGTAATATAATGATACTTTTCTGACTGCATTTATTTATATTTGTCTTCAACTATAACATAACATCAAATTCTTTATATTTTATCCTCATAGTTTAGGCCAGCGGTGGCCAACCTTATCCGCAAAGGGCCGGTGTGTATGCAGGTTTTTGGGATAACCTGTAGGTCAGCTGTTCAAACCCAGGTGTGAGGACTCTTCACCCAATCATTCCTCTAATTAGTAATATAATTAGGGAGCTGCAGTGAAAACCCGCACACACAGCGGCCCTTTGCGGATAAGATTGGCCACCCCTGGTATAGGCACTTAAAAAAATTCTTTGTTGGGAAAGTTTTGCAGAATTTAGCAACTGTGGTTCGTCAAGCTTTTGTTTTCAACCCAGCTATCTATTCCTGCTTTTGTGGATAGATGCCTGGACAGAAGTAGCCATCGTCCCAAGGGATTATCAGCTATATTGTCATGTTTGCAAACAAAGCCACAATATTGGAAGTATATGTAGACTGTGAGCTTGACCAAGAGAAGTGGTTGGAAGATGGACAGATGAATGGGTGGTATCTAGATGAATCAAAATAGTTCACATAATGTAACTATTTTGTTTGCTTTAAAGAAATTTTCCAGATGTACTGATATTATATGTGCTACATGAGAATATTTATGTTATTACTTATGTATTAATTAACCACAAAGTTACATGCTGATACCTATTTGTTAATCATTAATGAAGTTTTATCTCAATAATGAACAGTTTTATCTCAAACAATTAACATATTTGTTACTGTACAGTGGTACCTCAGTTCTCGAACTCATTAGAACTCGAATTTCTTAAAAGTCGAACCAACCAGTTTGAAAAACAATTTACCTAGAACTCGATCTGAATCTCAGAAGTAAAACCGTGAACGCCGACCTAAAATAACTTGTATGCGTCACGCGGCACATCTCTCAGCGGAAACAAAGGGTAACGCTTCAGTCTCAGCCTTGCATTAGCTGTGATAGCATCGTGCATGTTTACACAAGCTGAATACATATATTTAGACAGTAAAAATACATTTAGATAATGATAGACAGTAACAGTAATTATAATTATATAATAAAATACATTTAAAAATAAAGATTTCTTATTAATTATTTTAATATTAATAATAAACCATTAATACATTTAATTATAATAATATTGTCGTGCAGAGCGGGGTGGAACAGAGACAAAGGCGCAGACGTCAGGGTATCGGGAATACGGGGTTTAATTACAGGTAAGGCAGGCAAAACGCAGACGGACAATAC